CAGAGCACATTTCCAAGTCTAAAGGACATAAGTGCCGTGCTTTGTTCATATCAACAAATGCTTCTGTTTTGTGGATCAAAAAATCTATAATTATAACATGGAAATCAATAGGAAAATCAGCTTCGAGTTACAGAATTTCTTGCTATGCAAGCTTTTTCAAAAACACATCTCTTCTGTAATGTGGAGGTCGATTGTATAAGGTGACAAAAAAACAATATTGCAATTAATCCCACAGATTACTTCTGAGGCCCCTTATGTATTTTATGTAGAAATTGAGCAATTTCACCCAATTTCTGTGGTTTCAGTTCTTTATGCTAAGTATTACAACAGGTACAAACAAAAATTTCAATACAATACAATGTGTGGAACTTCCTAGTAGTGAATAATATTAAAACAAAGTAATAATTAGGAGGTTTAACAATTATCTGCTTCACACTGATCAAGAGATATGCAATAAATCCTATATATACATTAACCTACCTTGGATCAGAAAAAAAGTTATGCTAACCAGTTGCACGTGATGTTATAAATATACAATGTGTGGAACTTCCTAATAGTGAATAATATTAAAACAAAGTAATAATTAGGAGGTTTAACAATTATCTGCTTCACACTGATCAAGAGAGATAGGCAATAAATCCTATATATACATTAACCTACCCTGGATCAAAAAAAAAGTTATGCTAACCAGTTGCACGTGATGTTATAAATATACCTGGACAGCTTTTCAGTACTTACAACCACAGCATGTGATAGTATCCCATAATTAACATCTTGAACACCTTCTTTGTACATAAATAAAGCCAATCTGGTATTACTCATTATAACTTTATACAAACAATATATAAATATCTTACAAGTATCCACCTTTTTGTTGTTTTTAAATAATTTGCATTTCATTGGTAATCACGTGCTTTCATATGAGAAACTTGAGAAATATGGCCATACACCACGAATCATGATTTTGTTTTTCACATTATCAATATGATAAATGATTATTCATTATCATATGTCATTTTTATTGTGCTCATCATTACTAGACATATATTACCATTCCATTTCTAGTACTATTCTACAACACTTTAAATTTGCACAGCAGTCAGAAATCACCAACTGCAACAAGGTTGATGAACTAATCCATGTGAATCCCATCAATACTGCACCAAAGAATGATAAAAATTATTAACAAACTCATATTTGTTCTTACCCTTACTAAAAAACTTCAGAGTGGAAATTTATTCAATAAAACAGTTCTTCTCGTAGCGCACTAGCAGGAAAGACAAAATATTTTTAACATAACGGAGCTGATTTGACCTAGCAAGTTTAATGAAAGTGTAGTTCTATTGATTTTATGTCAATCACCATTTCTTAACCTTGGTTGTCATGGTATCTTGTTTATTGTTAAGCAGAAGTATAAGTTCACAGACATACCGCTGTGCCACTGGGGGGAGTCATGGTATGATGCAATTTCTAATATTTAAACTTTGAAACTCACAGGCTAGTAATCTACACATGTAAGGAAACCTTTTTCTGATCTTTTCAATTGTATAAGCCAATGTTGCTTTCATTTCATTGAACACTTGCACAGACATCAGAACACTGATAAGAGCTCAGCTTGGTGACATGTTGCAAGAAGATATTTGTGAATAACTTCTACTAAATTGCAGTCCTGATTTTTTTAGAGCTTGCTTTATCATTTTATATTTCATTGCAATTATGATGTTGTAGTATGATAGAAAGACAAATGTTTTTTGTGGAACAAATGAGGCAGGTTTAGTTAAATGATTTTTGCACTTGACCACACCAAATTTTGCTTTGCTAACAAAACCATTGTGTTAAGTCATGCATACATTAGGCCTTATCCAACTAAGTAACACTAGCAGCTTGAACGGGCAAAGAAAATCATTGAAGATAGTTATATAAATAGGTTGAAAACTTATAACACATTATTACTAAAAAAACAATATTTTTTTGCATGCAAGTGATTGTAAACACAATGAAATTGCATGCAAGTGATTGCAAACACAATGAAACTGCATGCAAGTGATTGCAAACACAATGAAACTGCATGCAAGTGATTGTAAATACAATGAAACTGCATGCAAGTGATTGTAAACACAATAATCAAAAAAAGATACAACTTAGTTTCATTAAATAAAATCTTTATAACTTATAAAGTTTTAAAATAATATTGGAAGGCATAAAAATCAGTAAATACAAATCTTCAACAAAATTAAGCAATTTCTAATTTTTTTTCTTTTTAAGTTTCATAATGAAATTCTTTGGAATTTTCCAAGATGAAAAGTTATACAAATACCACATATGAAAATAAGATATTTGATTTGCAGAAGGAAAATAATCTGAAGAAAGTTCATCTGAAGCAATTTCATACAGTAGTTTTTTATTATGCAATAAATCAAACTGTACAATGAGTGTATTGAATCAATGCACCAGGTATTTGAGATATAAAGTTAATTCTTGCTTGAGTGTTTAGTTCTAAAATGTAAATACTACATACATTATTCTCCTATAATGTGTGCATTTTATACCTGCAACTCTTGGGCTATTCTATTTGAATGTTGGGATTTCACCATCATTCTTACAATGCACTCATGGGCATAAAGAATGATTCTTGTGATAAAGGGATGTGAACCATGAATCCTTGGTCACAGTCCATTATGCTAATTATTATTATCTTGTACTTCAGTTCTTTAAATTGTCAGCCTCACGGCTTATCTTTATAAAAAAAAAAGTGTGTTTCTACAGGTTTCGCAAGAAATTACACTAATTTGGCACTTAGACTTCCTGTCAGTTACTTTAGAAGTTACAACTGACAAAAGTAGTAAGCTTTAGGCTACTTTTAATATATATATATATATATATGTATAACCTATATACAAAAGCCAGTGTGTGTCATGTCATGCTTGATTTCTCAAAACAGGAGGAGTCATAAAAGCCAAAATTCATTTATCCAGATAGAATAGTTTGGTTACTGTCTGCCCATTACGATTTTCGTGACGCAGTGCAAGGGGCCCGAGAGGAATGGTGGTGCTATGAAACCTTATAAATGTAGTGAGTGTTGATATAATAAGTCTAAAGTAAAGACAGTGTGGGATCTCCTAGCATAGAGCCAAGTGCAAAAAATTTATCATGAAAGTAAAAATATGGATTCCATTTTAAACTTAAATCATTTCTAAAATAAGCTCTTAAATCTCTTAAATCAACAAAGACTCTAAAATTGAGGAATCAACAAATATTTTTCCAGTTTTGTTGTCTGTACATTTCATCTTATACTTTCAGTATATAGACTAACAACAATATTAGGTTTTACTTTTGTTGCTAAGCAACACGACATAAAAGCAGTTGTTGGAAGGTAGTGTTACCAAAACACACTGGGTTTTCTATATATTAAAAGTTGTTAATCTAACTGATTTTACCAATAATTTTTCTATGAATAAGCCACAAATTCATTTCATGAATGATCTTCATTTTGATTGGTTAAGAAAGGAATTTAGAAACATCTGACTGCCTAAACTCACTTTTCTGCCTTGATTTCACAAAATTTATTTATTTCAGTTAGTTATCAAATGTGAGGTTAGGGTATACTATGGAGTGGTAGTACTTGCTCCATCATTTTTGACAGGCGATACACTAGTATATATATAAATATATACTAAAGCACAAATGTCTTTCTCTGTGGGTCTGTTCCTTATGCACGGTCACATCTTTAAAGCTACAAACTCTGAATTCGAGGTACAGATACAACTTTGTGTAAGAAGTAACACTGGCTATGTGGCTGCAGCCTAAGATGACACAAATTGAGGCCAAAATGACCAATATAGCAATTTCTGGCATACAGGACAACCAACTGGTCTCAAATTGA